CACTAATCTACAGATAATAATCATGGTCTTATGATTACCAGTGAAGAAATAAAAGCAGAGCTGTGTGTGCACAAAGTGTGATTTTTTTAACATTGCTTTCTCAACAATATCTACACAGGAAGTGCATAATGTCAGAGTTGTAGAACAGTATCAAACCAATTTTATAAATTTTATCAATGCCAGATGATGAGGCAGCATTCTAACCACTTCAAGGCAAAATTCAGAACCTCTCTCTATGCAGTCATAGTCTGCTTTTATAATCTGAATGAAAAGAATTCATTTACTAACTTTTTGTTTTCTTTTGATCTTAGTCTTATGGAAATTAAACTCTAGAAAGATTTTAAAAGATGAGATTGGAAACTGATTCAATATACTGTTATTTCTAGAGAATAAAACAGCATTGGATAAACACATGGATCAGAATACCAAAAAGATTCTTAAAGCTTGGTGAAATAGGAAATAAATAAGGATGGATTACAAAAAAACACTTTTTATGGAAAAAGTATTTTAAAAAACAAGCTGGGAAAGATAAAAACTAATATTCAGATATTGTACTGTGGGAAAGTATATTTTCACCTCTATAATATTAATAATTGGGAGTAATATCATTTGTTTAAAATAAAGATACCTTTTGCCAGTACCAAAAATATTCCTGTATTCACTACAATGTGATATTTGAAAATCTAAAGTAACAGTTGTTTAACTATTTTCAGATGGATATTGAGATTACTGTAATTATAGTGGTCAAAAAACACTTAGCACCCATCAAAATATACATAAATATATATATCCACTTACAAAAGTGGTGCCTAGAAATATAAATCACCAACAGTAAGTAGAAAGCTCTTTAAATCCGTTAATGATTGTTAGTAAGGTTAATGGTCATGAAATGTATTTTAAGAGGAATCCTTTGGAATATCTTTATTTGATTTGCAGAAGCAATGTGCCAAGGCCTGCCACATAGGCATAATGTTTTTTAACTCAGTATATACAAAATAAATAAAGTATCCCAAAGTGCTATAAATGTTATATGTTCTATATTAGGCTGTCTTACTGTCAGTAATCTATTCTGTTCTCTGAATGGAAATATAGCAACCATTCTGTACAAGGACATTACATTCATTTGTTTTTGGTTGCAAAATGAAGACTAGCCAAATGAAATGGGGGGAGGGGGGGAAGAGGTATAAATCAGCAAAATGCAAACTGCAAATTATCATAATTAAAATGTCATGAAGATACTGGAGCTAACATCTGAACTCTTATGAAAAGAAATGTAGACTCTTGACTCACCACAAATTAGGTCCGATTTCTTGTAGTTCCCAGATTTTTCTTTGAGGATACCAATCCAGGTTCTTTTGATAAAGGATTATTAGTATTAAACAATCAATCTAAAGCAAATTAGATGTAAATAAAGAAGAAAATGGAGAGGACAAAATTTCACCACTGTCTGTTTAATAAATCATTGATCATATATTTACCTAATCCTAACCTATGATCTATGAAAATTAATTCCCATCCTACTGTGGGGGAAAAAATCTTTATATCTTTTTCTGGCACTTACTTTAATCTTTTGCATCATAAATAACATTCAGATAAAATTAGCATCTCCATGTTGTTAGTTTAAAAATGGGTTGTGTTTTGTTTTAATTCCTAGACTATAACTGGTTTGATACTTTATTCGGTTAATTCCTTATCTCATTCCTTTTGATCCACTGCATCAAGATTACTTTCTAGCTTCTTCTTCAAAAACAGTAATGATGTAGCCTGAATATATTTTTAGAAATTAAAAGTTTATTCTCCATTCTCCAATCACTGCAGATTGGTAATGGGAGAGAATTTCCTTTATCTGTGGAAACTTTCTGTTGACAAAGATAGCTCTATTTGTCTTTGAGCCAGCTGCCTGCCTCCTGCTTTACCCCATTGAAGCTGAAGACGGAAGCAGGTCAGGAGCATTTATTTTGCATCAGGATGATTAAATGGAACAGAGCCACTGATTGTCCATTCGTGCAAGATCCAAAATAGACATTAATACTTGTGGTGTAAGTTAAACAAGCAAGAGAATCAGGGAGGACACAACCAACTCCCCATAACAGCCACTCTCCCATATGTCTAAATGCAGCTCAGATGCAGATGAGAATCAGGAATAATGTACTGTGGCCCTCTGAAGAGTTTTAAATCTTATATATAAATTGACATATATATTCTTACTGCAAATCCTCAATAAGAAACATATCACTATGTTTTAATATATCTTTTGATTGCAGGGTATTTATCTTTTCTTCTCAAATCTGTGTGATGTACCTCAGGTAGTTTATTTTGGAGATAACTGAGATTGGTCTTTCCTTTCTTTGAGTCCGTCTTCTGGGTACAAAGTATATCCATCCTCACTGTGAATCTTCTCTTCATTTGTTGTTTCTAGCTGATGTAGTCAAAGTGAGGCTCCAAAAGCCATTTTCTCTGCTTTAAATTTCAAGATGTCATGGATTTAAGGACAAGAATCAGTTACTGTGGTTGAGGGGTGGGAAGAATCATACCCCTGAAAGAAAAGTATAAAAGACTTTCTGCATGAAAACTCAAGAGAATTCCTCTCCATTATGTAGTAAAAACCCATGTAGAAGAGTTTACATCCCCAACACAGCAGCTGCAGATAAGTTTGAAATGTTATCAGAAGTTTTAAAGAATATTAATTATTTTTTTAATTGAGTGGAGGATTCTATGCCCAATAAGTCTTGATAAATTCATAGACTCAATATATTTTCTTGACAATTTAGCAATTTGAGATGAAAGAATGACCTGTTTTAAGTAGGAAAGTAAGTTGTTTAGGCTCATCCTAGTCCCTGTTTTTCTACATCACAAAACTGCTTTTCACCTTTAGAACCTAATTAATATGTAGCTCCAGGCAGTAGTTAGACAAATTCTTACCAGATGGCTATATGGTGATCTACGTGAAATATTTTTAGAGGGGTAACTGAGTTAGTCTGTAATTAGAAAAACTTAAAAAGCAACCAATAGTCTAGCAGCACCTTAAAAACTAACAAAACATGTTATAGATGGTGGTATGAGCTTTCGTGGGTACAACCCACTTCTTCAGATGAATGAAGAAGTGGGTTGTACCCATGAAAGCTCATGATACCATCTACAACGTGTTTTGTTAGTCTTTAAGGTGCTGCTAGACTATTGGTTGTTTAAGTTTTTACATGAAATATGTTGGTCTCTGTCCATCTTCCAGATCACAAATACTACTATGAAAGATACTTTTTTAGCTGACTTAGGGTTCCTTCCTTCCTCTTTCCATCCCA